AGTGCTAATTCTGTTGGTTTTAGGGCTCATCTGAAATCCATATTATTCTTGCCATTTGTAGCAATAAATTACTCCTATACACAGGATAGAGACTGATTTTAACGTTTCACTTTTGGAAATGACCACATCAGCAAAATCACCCACCTTTATTTGTAAGTTCAGTTTTAGTGTCTTCACTGTGTAAACTATTTATCATTACTGTTTGTTCTGCACTGAAATGTTAGCATGCTGCTAACATTTAAATGTTAGCAGGCTGCCTGTCTTTGCACATACTATAGTAGCTTGGGGTACCATAGGTAATTCTTCTCCTGATCATGGGGAATGTTTCAACTGCAACAACTGGATTTTAATTTCTCCAAAGATTCTATCACTTGTGTCCTGACCTTTGGTAGCTATAGCAGACTTTTATCTGAATTTTTTCTCAAGAGCTTCCTTTGCCCATCTGTTAGATACCAGCTTCTCTATGCTTTTCAGGTCTTTGGAGTTATCCAAGAGAAAATTTCTAACTCTGCCTACTAACTCTTCTTGTAGTAAAGCAAGAACTATTTCAAAATCTTCTAGGTTTAGTTTCAAAATCATCTAGGTTTAGACTTTAGTGGTAAAGCATGTAAATTGAACTCTATCTTTAGGATTTCCCTGTCTTTTCTATCTCCAAAGGGGGTTACCATTGTTAGTTAAAGACGCAGACATCTGGTTTTCAGGAAAAAAAAAACACCCTGCTTTTAGAAAGCTGAAGATTCAGGGTGCAAGTTCAGACCTCTTCTGATGTCAGGACTTGAGCATAACTCAAAATGACTCATTCTCTGGATTAAACTCAAAGCCATTTTTCATGAATATTCAAGAACCTCATATTTAATTTTTTTCCCACTTTAATTCCAGCACAAGAAAACTTGGACATATTCCATTCAACTTTCCCTTTCCTTTATACTGACAGGATAAAGTTAACTAAAAATTATGTTGCTTTAACAGTCATCTCTTTTTTTGATCCTGTAACCCTGAGCTGGGATTTCTTTTCTGGCATTAGTGTTTAATTTTTTTTCCCCTTTGCTTTCCTTTAGGAGTGTGAACCTTAGCATGAACCAGACTACCCATCATATGCTTCTTTGCTTCAAGTTCTCTGATCTAATTAGCTAATGGATTGATATTTAACTATACCAAAAATAAAATTATAAAAAAACCCCAAGCTTTACAGTTCTAATTATGCCTTTAGGATTCTGGGATTACAGAATAACCAAGTTCATAACTATGTCACCTGAAAATCACTTTTTATTTTTTCCTTTGGAACCCTACATAGGAAGAATTATGGGTTCTTGCTTTCCTATTTCCTTCTCTTGATTGAAACTACACCCATCTACTGTTGTCTAGTACAACACTAAGTATAAGCTTTCAATACTATTAATTGCTCAAACCAAACACAAAAAAGGGAAGTCATTCTTACTAAGGGTCATTTTACTTTGTGACTGGCGATCCTTAAATAGAGCTGGCTGTAAACTACTGTCTAAATTTTTCTCTGTTTAGTTTTACTTAGTCGGGGTTCTCTGGATTGGCCTTTGTCCTGAGAGGTAAATGTTGCCAAGATGTCTCCTACAAAATTCTGTTTGAATCCACAACACTGCAAACAGCCAATTGTGAGAAATGCTTCCCTCCAGAAATTATATTCTCCAGAGCGTGGAGAATATTATTCTACTCAGTAACACCATTAACAACAGTGACATTTTTCATGTTTTTATATAAAACTTAGTCCAACAGGAAAGCTTTTCACAGTGAGCTGTAGAAGTGTGCCTGTAAAAGCACTTCTGAAAACAGTCCATCTCACAACCATCATCTGAAGACACTGAGTAATAGCTGGAGAATTTCTCTAGGTGGGCAAATTCCCCTTTGAACAGGCTATAACTTTTCAGAGTGAATCTTCAGAATGATCATCTTGTTCAACTGTCAGACTACTGAATTAGAGCTGCTGTCATTTCATGTCACCCAGTAGGTCTCGGGATCATTCTGGCACATGCTCTTATGTTTGCTGACTGAGGGCAGAAAATGACTTCCAAGTGTCAAACATTAGTGCAACGGAATGTTAATCTGACCATGATATGAATATACTCTTAAAAACTAGAGCATAAATTGTAACAATCTTCAGGTGACTGGCTGGCCAGCCACCTGAAAAGACAAGAAAGTAGATTATTTCAAATACTATTTTAAGAAACATATTCTAGTCCACTACTTTTATGATACTATGGTAGCAGTTACCCTTATTAAGTGAATTCCCCAGCAGGCACACAGGCAAATCCTATGTTTACTTCTGGAATGGGTAGTCACAGCAGCAGAAGGTACAATGGGAAGGAAAGGAGAGGTCATAGCTAGGGCAAATTCCTACTGATTTCTGATAGTGTGTGCTTCCTTATGCCACAATTTAGGGCAGTTACAGCCAGATCCCTTGAGAATTGTAACTATTTATTGTTTTTCCACCTCTCTTGTACATTTTTGTCCTCTATGAAACAGTCAAGCTAGAGAGTTCAATACAGTGATTTGCTGTTGCTCTCAGTCGAGGCAGATGGTGTAAAAGCCAAAGTTTCTTTCTTCACTAGCAGGTGTTCAGCCACAGGGGCCAGGGAGGTGTAGCTGCAAAGTGCCGCAGCTGCTGCTTGAAATGCTCTCAGCAAACCCCTGAGCAGGGTCACGCTGCTAGGACAGATATAGTCCCTACTTTTTTCCTGTGGCAATAGTACTGTGCTGCACTTCAGCACAAAGGTACAGCTCATAGTCTAATGCATTTGTTCACCTTATTACCTCAAGGAACCAAGGGACTGCAAGCTGTAAATGGCCACTGTTGCAGTTTCATTTCCCTGAAGCTGTTTGGATAAGGTCTCTCCAGGCTGAGCAATCACAACTCTCTCAACCTTTCATTATCAGCCCTCTGACCATTTCCATGGCCCTTCTCTGGACTCACTTCAACAGGTCCATGTTTTTCCTGTGCTGGGGACTGTACCAAGGGCTTTTCAGAAGCCCGGGTAATTGACATCCATAGCTCTTCCTTTGTCCACTGATACAGTTACTCCATCATAGAAGGCTACTACCTTAGTAAGGAGGAACTCTGAAGACAGATTCTTATAAATTGAATTCAAGAAGTTTTGAAGGCTTCTCTTTTTATGAAGAGGGAGGTTACTGTGTGTACCACAGAGACATTTAAAACTGTCTTTATTTAGACTGTCATACAGCTGGGCATTCTTTGATTTAATCCAAACTCCTTAGAATACGAAATTATTGTTGTTCTTACCCTTCATCTTTTAGGCAATATGCTGGGGAAACTAAAGGTGATTGAACTTACAAAAATATTACCAAGAACAATTGCCTTTCAAAAAGCCACCATCAGTGTGATACATCATATGACTGTAAAAGATAACATTTGGAATTGTAAAATCATTGAATGGTTTTGGTTGCAAGGGACCTTATAAAGACCATCCAGTTCCAACCCCTATGCCATAGGCAGGGACACTTCCCACGAAACCAGGCTGCTCAGAGCCCCATGCAGCCTGACCTTGAACACTTTCAGGGATGGGACACCTGCAACTTCTCTGGGCAACCTGTGCCAGAGCCTCACAACCCTCACAGTAAAGAATTTCTTCCATGTATGTTCACTGTGCCCGTTTTCATAATATCAATCAAATTTGTATCAGTTTGTATTTAGCTATTCCTGATCATGGTTTGTAGGATACAATTTTATCACACTTGAAGTAAACACAGGTAATCATGGTACAGCAATGACAGAAACTGCAATTAAAAATGATATTTAAATCCCAGGAAATTCAGTACTAAAACAAGCAGTACAAACGATATCAAAACATAAAATGCACAGAGTCAGCTATTTACCAGTAGGTAGCAACTTCCCTAAGTATGTGTTTAACACTCACAAACACTTGTGGTTTGACAGCCTCCTGTGACAAACTCTAGCAGAATCTCTGTCTAGGAAGAATGAGAGAGGGTTTGGCAAGGTAATTCCTTTGATACTAATGAGGGGGCAGAACTCATCTGGGCCAAAGAAAAAAGAGAGCAGAAACCTGTAAAACAGTGCAGGTCATATCAAAGCAGTAATAACCTCTTTCAGAGGACTGAAAGAGAATTTGAAGAACACCTTGTAAAGGATGCTCAGACTGTCAGTAAAAAGGCCCTTACACGCACCAAAAGAAAGAAGGTAGTTACAAAACCAATGAGACATCTTATTAACAAAAGTCTAAACTGTGGAGGGGTGGGAGGGGGTGGCCAAGGGTGGCGAAGGCAGCACAGAGAAACTCAAAAGAGTTGTGTGTCCCAGACTGCAGTTGGGAGTGCTGGGGGTTCATGACCCCACACCTGCTGCCCACTGAGGAGCACAGCAGATCTCTATCAACGTGAAGTAACTTTATAGGAAATAAGAGCCCAAACAGGGAAGTGAAAGTAAACCCTATACAGGGTGTGTAAGCACGATGTCTGAAGTGGAAAAAGTTACCAAAAAAGCAGGTGATATTTAGCCACAAGTGACGAGGGACCTCAGGTACCACACTGCGGAACCACTGAAGAACCACCCTCACGCCTGGCAGGTGGCCACCACGACACCTCCGCCCAGTTAGGCCACGCCAGAGCCCGTCCGGAGAGAGAGAAAGCAGCGAGGCTGCCCTGGCTCCCTCGTGGAGCTGAAGCACTCACGGCAGAGCTCCCGGACAAACCCGGGTGCCCAACCCAAGCGCCCCCGGCGGGGCCGGGCCCGCCGCATCCCTCAGGTGCGCGCTCCGGGGCGGGGCGCGCCCCCGCGCGTGCGCGCGGCCGCCGCTGCAGGCCCGTGCTCGCTGCAGGCGCGCCTGCGCGCGCCGCTCTCCCGTCCCGGAAAAGATGGCGGCGGCGGGGGGACCGGCCGGGGGCGGCGAGTGAGGGACGGGGCGGGCAGGGCTGGAGCGGGACGCGGCTACCGGGCAGAGGGGAGGGGAGGGTGTGCCCCGTAGCCCGGGGTGGGGATGAGGAGCCGGGGAGCCGGGGCAGGGAGGCGGTGAGGAGGGAGCGCGGCTGCCCTGTGAGCACGGGCGCCCCTGCCCCTCCCGCCCCCTCACCGGCCCGGGAACGGGGCGCAGCTCGGCGGAGTCGGCGGAGGAGCCGCGGCGGCGCTGGCGGGGGCAGAGGAAGGCGCACAGGTGAGTGCCGGGACCAGGCTGAGCCCTCAGGGCGCTGCCCCCGCCTGGCCCGGTGCGGGTCACCCAAAGCCCGTAGTGCCGCTCTCGTTCACGAGTTTATTTATTTATTAGCGGTGGCACAAATGTGATTCGGCGTTACTTAGTGGTTTGGTTCCTCAAAACGAGCCGGCAAGCATTCTTGTGCTCGGTAGCTGAAATGCCCCTGGAGTGTGAAGGCTGCCTCTTAGGAAGAGCTGAGCCGCTGTCCTCTATGAGAAGATGGGTCTTGACCTGGAAAACTCTGAGTTTAAAAACTGTTAGACGAGTTATTAACCTCGAAACTCTGTTAGCAGGGGTTATTTCCTCTGTTACCTGCCCTCTCTGACCCCCTGTGATAAGGGGTGGATGTGTGCAGGTGTCTGTGGCTGCAGCCTCGGTTCCTGTAGTAATTTTAGTCTTCATGGCCATTCACAGCTTCAGTGATTGGATGTAAAGCGAAATAGTTCAGAGTTCTGTAAATGTCAGCTTCGTTAACTGCAGAGAAATGAAGATGCAGCTGTACTAAAGTATCTGTTTTTTCACTGTTGCCTTGCATGTGCCCTCCCCTCCGCCCCCCTGCCCCAGCTAATTATAAACAATATGATGGCTGTGACCTGAAGACAAGCCTTTTGGTAAAGCTGTCACAGAAACTTTTTCTGAAAAAAAATAAAGTAAGGTTCTGCAGAATCTGTTTTCATGTACTTGTTTTTACCAACTACTGATTGAATGAGAGGAGGTGTTTCTGTGTATCCGTGGAGAAGCATGGGTTTGAAAGCTTTTCTTCAGGAATATTGCTGACATAAGTTAAGGCTATGGCAAGGGTTAAGTGAGATTGGGTCATTAATGGCAATGCAGAGAAACGGACCTTTTTTCCTATCCAGGTGCAGTAATCTAATATTTTTAAACTGGCTTTGAAAAGAATTGTATACCAGATGGGTTCATCCAATCCTAAGCACTCAAGAAATATTAGCCTTCAAGTGAATGTCATGAGGTCATTGTTATGCTTCAGCTTCAACTTCCTTGATATGTTTTTTTTCCTTTAGTTACAAAGAAGTCTATTTATAGCATAGTTCTGTCCAATGACAAAGACCTTGGTCTCCTTGGATGCTTTAAGAGTCAAAAAAGTATTAAAAAATTTGGTAAAAGGTATATATACTTGGCTGCATAAGGGTAAAAACAAAACCAAAAATTGTGGAAATCCATGTGGTGATATAGTTACTTTTTTTTTTTTTTTTATTTCTAAGTAATACAGTAGGAAACTATTGAGCATAAGACACGTTTTACAGTCTGTCTTATTTATGCATATCTTCTATGCAATGAAATCCATGCTCAGGTGTGTATATATATATATATAATGTATATAAATTTTGGTAGCTGGGCATCTGTTGATCTGTTGCACTAAATATTCCTCAAGTAACTGACATCACAAGTACAGGGTTTTTTGCAGTGTACAATGAATACCCTCAACAGTGTGCTATGTCACTTAATGCAGAGAGTTTCTGATACTGTTTTCATTTGTATTAATGTGAAACTGGTAGCTGTTGGCTCTAACAAACACCTCCATTTTGTATTTACAGCACCTTGTGTATGCTTTTCAAAATATTTGTATGTATGTATATATATATATTTACTTTCAATAAATACTTCTAGGTTATTTCTGGAATCTTCTGCATCTAGATAACCTCTAGAGTAAGGGATTTATGTCTCCCTATGATTGTATTTAAAACTAAACAGCTTAGTTAACAATAAAGCTTCCTAAATCTTGTAATGATCAAGAAAGGAAGTTTTGATTTGGCTGACTTTATTTCAGCTGAACTCTGAAAATTCCTTCTTTGTGTACAAGTAAAATAGGTTGAGTTGTTTTTATTAGCTAACTTCTCACGTTTGTTTCAAGCAGCTCAGTAACAATAAAGAATTGTTCACACAGGTGCTGTATATGTGCTTTTAGAAATACTAGCAAGCCATTCTGAATTATTATGAGTGAGTGAAATACTGGAGAGGAGAGGATGAAGGAGTGGGACCTGTTTAGTCTGGAGAAAAGACTGAAAGACTCTTACCAATGTCTGTCAGTGTCTGCAGGGAGGGGTGAGAGGATGGACCTGGCTCTGCTCGGTGGTGCCAAGCAACAGGACAAGAGGAAACAGCAGAAACTGATGCCCAGGAAGTTCCACCTGAACATGAGGAAGAACTTCCTTACTGTGTAGGTGACTGAGCACTGGAAGAGATTGCCCAGAGAGAGTGTGGAGTTTCACTCTCCAGAGATATTCCACAACTGTCTGGATGCAATCCTGTACTGTGTGCTCTAGGGTGACCCTGTTAGGGCAGAGGGCTTGGCCTGGATGAGCCACTGTGGTCTCTTCCAACTTGACCCTTCTGTGAGTGGCAAGTGAAAGCACAGCACTGATTTTGGATAGTGTGCATCTTGTTTCTGCTTTCAAACTATGCCTTAAAAGTTGTTTCATAGGATTATACAGTAGAAGTCCATTAATTCTGTGACCATCTCTGACACAATCTGAAACTTTGGTTTCAAAAAACTTTGTTTTTTTGCTGTGCCTCATATTCTCCTTTGAGTTGTCTCAATGTCATTTGAACAGTAGGAGGCAATATCTCTTTTATGTCAAGTTGCTGTGTTTTGAAGTATGATTTTAGTAACTTGTAGGATAGGGGTGAAATAAGCAATGGTTTAATGGACTGAAGTTAAGTAACCAGCTTGGTGAACAAAACAGGCTGTTTTTGTGTTTTAATGAGAGTATCAATATTAGGAATGTTAGAAAGTTTTATCAAGATTAATTTACAATTAATAAAGTTTATTCAGTGAAATTTCCATTGAAATTTTAAAAAATGCATGAACTAAGTGTACTGAATAAATGTATGTGGACTCATCTGGAAAGAAACTGTAAGTGATATTTAAATGGATATTACAATTGTTTGCTGTTAGAGCTCATATTTTCATCATTCATTTATTACCAGTGTTAGCAAAGCAAAACCACTCTTACCTTAGAGTCATAGGTTTGACACCCTTCAGATTCACATATCCAGTTGATAATGTTTTGATATCTCACACTGTTGGATTTTTGATCCTAATCAACTTGAGTTGTGATTAAAAGTTTTACTTTGTTAAACTAGTGTTTGAATAAACTGTAATGGTGATTTCAATGGCAAGTCATGCTGTACTCTTGTAGAACATGAGTTATTGGGTGGTTGCCATTCAGTTTAGTTGAAGATTTGTGTCCAGTTGGCTCAGTTGTAGCTGGGTGATTAAGCTACAAGGCATTAAGCATTTGCTGAGTACTGCACATCTGTATTTTATGTGTGTCAGTGAAGGTTATGGGAGAGGTAGGTGGTTGCCAGAAAGGTTAAAAAGATTAATACGTGCTTAGTTTTGTTGTCTCCATATGCTGCTGTAGCAGCACCTCTGATACTGCTTGCTGGTCATGGTCACAAAGATACTACATGCTAATTTGAATTGACTGCCAAAGATTAGTTGGATTCAGGGGTATGTACATTTGTGTCTTTAATAAGAAATTATTGCTTTAGTATTAGTCATCACTAGTGGAAATAAGAAATTAAAAAAAAAAAAAAGAATGCTTTTTAAGATCAGAGAGAATTCATTTTGCCCTTATTTCCACGTGGATTTTCAGAAGATGAGAAATAAGATTCAGTAGACAAGAATATCTTCTGAATAAGTAAATATAGATGTATTATGAGAAGAAGTAGTTTGATTTTTCTATGGAAATGTTAAACTAAAACATTGAAGTATCAATAGCATTTTGGTATGTTTTTCGTAAGTGTAGTGTTATTCTTCAAGCGTGCGTTTTAACCACAAATTGATAAAATATTAGTCTCTAATGGAAAAAGAGACCTTATTCATGTAAACTTAATTTTCAAAATAAAAAGAATTGAGGATGTGGGATATAGTATAATGATGCTTTTCTTAATGCTGTGATTTTTTTGAAGAGATAAACTGTTTATTCTTACCCTCTAATAGAATTCTGGTGACATAGGAAAACACTACTTAAGGCTTAGCTTTTCACGTATAGGTTAAATTCTTTGATTGAAAACTGTGTATTCAGGAAATCAATAAAAAGCTTTCTTATTTGTGCAGTTAATGGTATGATTGTTGGTTGCTTTTCTTAGATTCTGAAAGGTACTGAGTTTCACAAAACTGAGTCTGGGAGTTAGTAGATTGGCCTTTTTTGTAGTAACTGGCATGTGGAGGGAACTGGAAGGAAACTAGGACTTCTCATTATTGTGTGACAAGAGTGCAAAGAAATCATGAAAGCATAAATTGTGTGAGTTGGCTCTCCTTTTATTAATGGAAAAAGGTTCTCAGGATCACGTGAGCTTTTTCTCTTCTTTGAAACCTCTGCTATGGAGAGCACACATTGCTGCTGTTCTTCCATTTAAAGGGCCTCAGACAAGAATCTCTTTAGAACTAAGCAATAATTTTTCTTACAGAATGCTCTTAAAAATTCCAATTTAACACATACAGAAATTTAGTTATATTACTCAAATATGCTTGCTTTGTCTCATTGTTTTTTCTACTTTAAGGTAATTGAGTCTTAAAACTCAATATATGACTTGGTTGTACTTTTCCTTGGAGTAAGATTTCTATTATTTTTACATGCTATAAATTGAAATTCGGTTGATCAATGAGAAGCATTTCCCTCCAGCCCCCTCTGGATTGTTTTGTTACAGGTTGTACTTGAGTTTGTATTTGGACTGTGGACTTCTTGTGTAGGTAATGAGGTGACTTCTAATTCAGGTCTATCACCCTGACCTCAGTGCCTGGCATTGTGTTGAATGCCATTCCAAGCCATCCTAAACCCAACTTGGGTTTAGTAAAGGCAGGTCCTGCTTGACCAGCCTGGTCTTCTATGACAAGGTGACTGGCTTGGTGGATGAGATAAAGGCTATGGGTGTTGTCTACCTGGACCTTAGTAAAGCCCTTGGCACTGTTTCCCACAGCATTCTGCTGGAGA